ATATCAGCTTTATAAACTGCCATTTAGCAGAAAAAATAACAGGCCTCCAGGGGGTGACAGGACAGCCTCCTGAACGCCTGACAGCAGCCACTTATCCGCACTCTGAAAAGCGATCCACTACAGATCACTCTTCAGTGTTTGCCTAGTGTGGACCAAGCCTAACAAGTCATTGTAATGTCACCCATAGTCCTGTCCTTACAACATGGCCACTACAGGCTGACACCTATACTGCAAAGGTTGTCACAGGCAGGGGCGGACTGACCATTCGAGCACTGTCTGAGGGCCCGGGGTCTGTAGTGGGGCCCCATGAGATGCCCCTGGTACCTTTTTTTTATAGGCTTTTTTGAGTGTGGGCATGGACACAGGGGCCCAATGATCCCCTATTGCCTGGGGGCCCCATTAACTGTCAGTCCGCCCCTGGTCACAGGACGGGGACACAGGCCATGCATTGTACAGGCACTTCTACATCCTCCACGTCTCCTTCATTTCTACTGGGGAAAAACACTGTGTGCCCCCCCCCCGTGTGTTCCGGATGATCGGCACTGCAGCGATCCGGAATGTCATGAGCTGCACATTCTCCTACCCGGGGAAGAGCTGTGTTATAATGAGGAAATGTGAGGCTCTGCGGCTCCCGGAGATGAATGGGTACAATATCCTAGCTGCAGAGCCATGGGGGCGGCCGTCTCCCATACGTATTCCACTGCACTGCAGGACACTACAACTGCACGTCTTAACTCTTCGGAGATCACTCCCAGAATGACGGAGCGGCGCGGTTGCTATGCGACGCGGACGCTATGTGCGTGCCTTGAGTGACGTTGACGTGGTGGGCGGGGTCTGTGCTGGAGACCGGGAAGCCGTACACAGATACATTGGTAGAACCAATCCCGGTTCGCCGGCTCCATCTACTGGTCAATATGCGGTATAGCATTCTGAAATACCTTCCTGAGATAAATTACCGCATTTTGGCACTAGATGGAGATAAGCACAGGGATTGTATATACACCAATGTGTTGGCCATTCAGGCAAAGAAAGCTTTCTAAATAGATCCCATAGTGAGGGAGGATGGCGGCCCATAGAGATTCATATAGAGTCCATAGTATGGAAGGTGGGAGGGGAGGCTATGCACAGTGATGGAACTACCAGGGTTGAACTTGTGTGTCTACAGAATAAGACCTGTTTGGAGAACAGGTCCAGATGCAATGACCTCCAACTATACGTGATCCTGAAACGCATTAAATAATTCTGACAAATACAGTTGCTCCCAACCTAATGTAAATTGATAAGCAGAACTTCTCTCCTCTTTTTTCGGCAACTCAACCTTTTTCCAGTCAGAGTGCCCTTGAAAAGCATTTTCACTCACGAGGCATTCCTGTCCAAGGCTTGATTCATTTTACTCTCTGTTGTGGAAAACACACGCAAAATCACGCTCATTCCTGACACGCAGACAAATGCTCTGCGCCTTGGGGGTACCCCCATACATTGGCAAACACAGGTGTATTTCCTGTAGTGCAATTTTTAAAAAAAAAAAAGTGCCAGGATCAACTTTCCCTGCATTTCTACAGGTGAGGCAGACTATTGAAATGAAGGGGCTGCTCTATACACAGCCACTCAGATGTGAACCAAGGGCTTGTTCACCTGCAAGGTTGGAGGGCGGTACAATCACACCACTAAGCTGCTTTTACCACCCCAAATGCTCCTCCTTTAGCTGCAGAAGGTGTGAACATAGCTTGAAGTACACCTTCAGATGAATGGGGTTGAACTACAACCACTTCGCAATTGTGTGCACATTGCACACGGGTGTGGTGATGCTGCTTTTTACAGGGTTAAACCAGGTAGCGAGGAGGCAACATATTGCCTCTTTTCTTTACCACCTGTCAAATGCTTTTGAAAAGCAGTCTGAGCATGGAATGCTTTTCAGAGGAGCAGCAGTCCTTCCTGCAAATATGAACTCCTCCTAAAAAAGCAGTTCTGAAAGGACAGGAAAAGGGAGATGATGAACATACATGCACGCACCCCAAAAAAAAAGTTACAGTACATTGCCTCCCCCTAGAGTGCAGTACCAGGCTGTGTGAGGGAAGGTAGAGAGCACAGAAGACACCCCCCCTCCCTTTGCTCAGCAGGCTGATGGGTCCAAGTGCCAACGTACAGTGCGGCTGGGGATTTGGAGCTTGGGCTCAACCGACAGCCTTTCTCTACCAGAATGCCACAGCACCCGGGTGAGAAAGGCTGGGTAATTAATGTGTTTCTTATTTTAATAAAAATAGTACTTGGAAAGTACGTTTCTGTGCACTATTCATCAAAGTGGTTCAGACACAGAAAAAAAAACCCATAGCCAAACACTAGTAATTAATTCAAGTGAGATTTTTACCCAAACAGGACCCAGAATAATAAAGGTTCCCATAAGTCATAAAATATTGCTCTTGCTACAGGGTGAATAAACTCACTAGAACAGATTACTGGAGTTGTGATGTCACTTCATGCCTGGATTGCTTTGAAAAACTAAAGTGAACCCGTGCTCAGATTATGCACAATAAATGAACATATTCTGAACAAGCAGTAAAAGCACAATAAAAGAAGCCCTCATTCACTACTATAACTACAAGCATTGTGGAGAAATTACAAAGAGTTTACAACAAAGGAACTAAAATCAGTTTCATTACACTTTATTTTCCTTTGGTGTATAATCTTGCCAGCTTTGTAGTAATGAACACCAGGTGCCTGTAAACTGCTAGAAACCAAAAGGGGGGGGGGGGGGCAATTTGGGGTGTAACCCTACCTGCCCTTTCCATGCTTATTCCCTACTCTCCCTAACCCTCACCTGCTTGCTATACTCCTAAATCCCTTTTTCTTCCCCTTCTTTCTCTGGTGTTTCCCCTCAATACTTTGGGATACCCCAATAAAGAGATGTTCTTTATCAGCACCAAGTATACTAACAGGGCTCAAAGCAGCAGATAGGATGAGGGAGATTAATATTGGGGTGCTGATGTTCATCTTAAAGGATAAGTTCACCTTTGGGAACGTTACATGTTCCACCCACTTTTGGGGGGGGGGGGGCATGCAACAAGTGACCACTCCTGCAGCCTCTCGCCGATAAACCTCCCCCCCCTCTCCAATTGTGACAGCGAGTCAGGGATCTTCTCCCTGCACGCGCTGTCACAATTTGAAAAGGCCTCTGCCCACATGGCCACGTCATGGATTCACAGAGATCAGTACCAACAGCCTTCAAGGCTGATGGCTTGTAATTCCCAAAGAACTACCAGGGTGCTAGTTAGCACTCTAGGCACTTCGAGTCTTTAGTGCCTTTATTATTTTTTTTTTATTTTATAAAGGTGAACTTAGCCTAGAAGTGCTTCAATGCTTAACATGATATCCCCAGTGTATCCTATAATGCCCATTCACACCTGAGGGCTGTAATGCTGCTTGTTATGGCATTTAATCTTCAATAGTGCACCACAAGAGTACTAATAAAAAAAAAAAAACCAACACACAAGTTTTCAGAAACAAGGATTCATGGTGAAAATATGCATTTTGCACACCTAGCATACATTTCTTAGTGCTTTCCTGCGCTAAGGCAGGAAGTGAATGGCTGTATGCAGCTGTTCTCTTGTAAAGGCTGATGCTTATGTGCCTCCAATGTATTTCTGGAATGCAGAAATAAATCTAGTTTTTGGAAAATACTCGAGACACGCAAGTGCAGGTAAACGCTGAGGAAGCATCAGCATTTACAAGAATATAGCTCTACACAGCCATTTACTTGTATGACAGACTGCACGTGGCACCTGCAGCTCCCTGGGTGCAGGAAAGTACTAGGAAATTTCTAAATTATATATAAAATGCCTATAAATGTCAGTGTGCATAACCCACAAAGCCTGGTTACATGAACATACAATGGACATGGACACAAGGTCTCTGCCAAAAGGAGAAAGGGAGATTACAATTCGGCATAGAACAAAAATGCTCAGTTCTGCCTCAATAATGATCTGCCCTTCTCACAGATACCATATGGCAAATATATATTTTTTTTTTCCTTTTTTTTGTGTGAAATATCCTACAGACTTTGTTTACTTTAAGACAATAAGTTCACTTCCAACAATGGTAAAGCAATTCCAATTTAATAAGTTTGAGATGGAAACCACGTTGGACTGATTAAAACAGTCACTGGTAATTATTAAGTGGCTCTGTAGGTTAGTGGTGGTGCTCTTTGTGGGATTTGGCTGCTACCACACTGGTATGACAAAGTCATTGCTTCAGCAGACATTACTTGAATGAAGGAGGAGCGCCAGCTGTCAGAAATACTGGGACTCTTAAGAGAATATGATTGCTTATTGAAAGTATAAAAACATATAGATCAAGCCCCTGCATCACACAAGCTGGCATTTGCCACTGCAAGAAAGTTCAGGTACCACACCTTGGAACCTACCAATCTATCAGCGATTGCACCCATGATAAAAGGGAAGGCAATTGCCCCGTAATGCATTGGCTTGACCTGTACTTCTTTATACTTTAAATAAGCAATCATATTCTCACATCAAGATTCGCAACATTCCGGACACTGGGTACTCCCCACTTTCTCATTCAAGTATGATAATAAGTGTGTTTTTTTTTTTTTTTTAAAGGCTCTGGGGTTACACAATATTGTCACAGTGTATAATGAAAAGCATGGTAGTCCAAGAGACAAAACAATGACAATAGGTTGGCATTTAAGATAACTATTTTCTCATATGCAGCTTCAACTACATTCTGAATACATGTTTTTTTTTTTAATCACAGATTGCAAGGTGCTTGAGGTTGCTGCTTCCAAACAAAATTGCAGAGAAAGTCAAAAACAACATACATCGTATTCATAAAACTGAAAGAAAGGCCAAAAAAAAAATATCAGTCCATCTCATGGTAACGAGTACTTCTCCTCCCATGTCCTTGGAAAAGTGCGAGAAATCCCTACCAGTTATTCTTACACACAGAAAATAAAAAGCTAAAAAGGAACTACATGTCCACTGCGGTCACTCTTCGTCTGAAGAACTCTGGTCAAGAGTGTAAACCATAAACAGAACTTCTGGACGTGCTGGTACGCAGGGATGCCCAGGACGCACAATCTCAAAGCCCAAAAAGCTGAATGTCTTCAGAAGTGGACCTATGAAAAGAACAGAAAGTACAATGAGAAATAATGACGAGAAAGACCCCTAACATTACCCCTGCACTCTGTTAAATTCTCAACCCTTGAAGGGTTCAGAGTCTGCAGTACAGTACACAAGGAAATTATCAGGTGGCTCTTCAGTCACCCAAATCACTCACAAAAAAAAAAAAAAAAAAAAAAAAAAGCTGGCAGCTAGAATTAAATTGGGTAAACAAACTCCACACTGCTATAGTGGCTGGGGTTCTGGTTACATGCCAGTGCTCCTGCCATTGTTACCACTATATTGGCATCAGCAATGGGGTTAAAATTACCAGGTAACAAACAAACAAACAAAACTGCGCTTAAAGGAACGTGCCAAAGAATACAATTGGTGCTCAAATCATTGCTGCCACTTCTAATAAATCAATGTGACCAAAAAGGAATAACTTAGTAGTTCAGTAGCGCAAAATATCATAAAGTGAATGAAACAATAAAACTAAATATCAAAATATGACTTTTGATGTGAAAAAGTCCAAAATAAAGTCCTTAATAAACCCACAAAATCTTCAAGTTCTCCAAGAAAGTTCACCATGTGTACAAAATGAAATGTGCATTCACCAAATGAGTATGCCCCCCACTCTCATGGTTGGCCAAATCGCTTAAAGAAAACAATCACCATCTCCAATACACCAATGTCACTCTTCAAGATGCACAGGTATCATTCCATGATATCTACGTCCGCCGAGTGTCACAAAATGGCACCAATCACGTCACTTCCAGTTGCGGCACAGTCCTCACCCTATGAGGAAGTGGGAAGTGACGAAACACGTCAAGGCAGGACTGAGGGGCAACCGGAAGTGGCGGAACTGGAAGTGACATGATTGGTGCCACTTTGTGATACTCGGCGGTGATGAGAGCACTGCAGGGCTTCACATGGTTCAGTTGCACTATCTGCAGCATTTTTGAACTTGAATTTCTTTTAATTCTTGTAAGTGGCTATCTATTTGAGCCAATAAAGAAGGCATTTTGTACTGCACCATTTGGGTTTCTCTTTTGGGTTTTTCCCTTACATGACCATTTGGGAGGTGATCACAGAGGAGGAAGAAGGGTGGCTGTGACCATTTTCAATGTCTTTATACCTATTACCAACCAATCCATGGAATACCTATGCATCCTAAACAGCGTGACATCTTGGTGTATGGGAGATGGTGATGGTTTTCTTTAAGCGATTTGGCCAACCATGAGAGTGGGGGGCATACTCATTTGGTGAGTGCACACCCGAAAGGGGGGACATTTCATTTTGAACACGTGCTGAACTTTCTTGGAGAACTTGAAGATTTTGTGGGTTTAAGGACTTTTTCACATCAAAAGTCATGTTTTGATATTTAGTTTTATTGTTTCATTCACTTTATATTTTGCGCTACTGAACCACTTTAAGTTGTTCCATTTTTGGTAAATTTACCAGGTATCCATCTTCATTTTCATTATTTTGCACAAACTGGCCTGATAACAGTCATTCAAAATGTACTGATTTTGTTTTGTTTGTTTTTTTCATGTACGGATATTATTATACAGGATTTATATAGCACCAACAGCTTGCTCAGCGCTTTACAAAATAAAGGAAGACAATACAGCAACCATACAGTTCAATACAAGAGGGTTAGGAGGGCCCTGCTCCTTGGAGCTTACAATCTAAGAGATAGAGTAGGGAGGGGATAAAACCCCAAAAGTATATTTTTTCCTGTGTCCTGTTGCAGAGATTTATGGTCAGTTCCTGTCCTGGAGAAGCACATTTTGGCTACACATACAAGATGAAATGAATACAAAATCTGAAGGTTTGCCATGTTAGAGAATATTTGGAAATGTTCTCTGAACATCTTTAGGTCTATAATTCTTCCTAAAATAATAGCAGTGCACTTTCTGGTATATGAGGGAGTCTAGTTACACCCCTGTCTACAGTGCTGCCGTCCGGCCGTTTATGTACATGGGCCGGACGGAAAGTGGTTAAAAAGAGTCCGGTACGGTTTTCACCTGTTTCAGGTGAGACTTCAAGTGTCATATACCTTGAAAATTCCACTCTGAAACGCACCTGAACCAGTAAACAAAACTGCACTGGACTCCATTGAAAAAATGTACTAAAACCAGCCCCACAAGTGAACCCAGTCTCAGTGTTGAGATTTCAAAGTACAAAACTCGAGTGTGACCCCTGCATGTCCAGATAAACCTGATGATATTAAAGTACACAAGAGAATTACTTTCAGAGGTAAGCCATCAAATCCCAAGGGTATTTATAGTCAATCAATTCCTGTAGCTGTACCCAGGTCATGGCATGTCAAGAGACTGTCAGATTAATTTACTATAAATGACAACAACCCATGTCTATAGGACTTTCATGTCATTCATGTCCAGCAGGTATGTCTTAAACACCATCACATTTCATTCATGTCAGCTTCACTAGTGATGCTGTACTGCAAAGCATATACGTACATGAAGTTCTTAAGGAGGACAAAAGTGTCTGCATATTAAAGTGGATCTTCACCCATTACAAGGAGCTTTTCTCTTTTAGTTCCTTCCCCCTCCCCATTACAAAACTGGAAAAATGTTTTTTATTATTATTCGTAAAGTACAGTGCAGTTTTTGTGCTGCAAGGCACCAATTCCTGCTTTCTCGCCTAGGTGAGGATTACATACATATCCCCACTGCCCCCTGGGATTGCCACATCATACATTCCCAGGAGGCAGTTTTACCGAGGGGGCATGCATGCTGCGAGATTCTGCACATGCACAAATACAACTGTGCTTTGTCAGGTATTGAGGACCCAGCAGAGCCCTGCGGTACCTCTCTGCATGCAGAGGGATTCTCACACACTTGTGCAGATTCCCTGCTTCTCTGCCATGTTCCAGACACCAGACATTAGTGGCATCTATGCGTATGCGTAGTAATCCTGGCACATAGGTAGATGTAAACAGAAACAACCCCTGCGCTCCACGACTCAGCAAGGGTGGAAGGATGGAAAAGGAACTTGAGAAAATTCGACACAATTCGACCACCAATGCATAGAAGGTTGTGCGGCTCTAAACAAGGCTGGGGAAGCCCAACCAGTACTGTGAAGTGAAACAAAAAAAAAAAAAAAAAAAAAAACAAAAAGAAAAAGCGCACCAACCTTCGCATTACTCTCAGTAAATTGTGATTTTATTAAATAGAGAATAACAACAAAGCATAACAAGCATGTAAGGTCCACAAAGCAACCTGGGAGTATAGAGCCAATGCGAGTCACATCACGAGGCTAGACTCGTAAAGTAAAGGCTGACGCGTTTCGAAAGGGGTCCCTTCTGCATCAGAGCTCTGATGGAGGGACCCCCTTCGAAACGTGTCAGCCTTACTTTGAGAGTCTACCCTCGTGATGTGACTGCAGCACAAAAACTGTAGACTGTTAAAGTAATAAAATTACATTTTACTGAGGTAATGCGCAAGGTTGGTGCGCTTTTTCTTTTTGTTTCACATAGGTAGATGTGCAGCGGGGCTCTGCCAGGTCCTGAATACTTGTCAGACTCTGCGCATGCTTTTGATTTTTAAAAATGGCAGCATGGAAGAGTGGCAGGTGGAGGGTAACAAAGCGGGGTAAAGTTCTGCTTTAAAGACCTTTCCAGCTAAGCGACATCTACTTTCCCAGCTAGATGTCAAAGTAATAGCAAAAATATGCATGTCTATCACTTGCACTGGGGAAAGTTTATGAATTGAAGCTCCAAATAACGGAAGGTAGGAACAAAACAAAGTCTATACATTTGCCTGATACCTCTCAAGAACAGCAAAATTACTTGCAATGAACAAAAAAGGCAAACAGTCTCTGCTTTGCTTTATCGGAGAGAATGTAGGATGAATTATACCAAGCCGTAATATTGATACTTGGTCACCCCATTAAAACTAAAAAAGTGGAAAATGCTGCAATCCATTCCTTGGCGTAAACCTATTACAATAGAAATAAAATAGAAGCCAGTGTGTACCATTGATTTAATTTGGTCCCTGCAGGTTCCTTGTTTAAGAAAAGTAGCTAAATAACCACTAGAGAGTATGATTTCTTTGCAGAGTTCACTACACATACCTCTGTCTTCCCGAGTCTTTCTGAAGCAGATAAAGACGTATCTGACTTTTATCTTTTCTTCTGCATACTCAAGAAGAGCCAGCAACCTGGAGACAGCAGACATTTCACTGATCAGTACTGACCAAGAAACACATGTTGCTGAAGAAAACAAAAGCCCTGCCACACGGGCCCTTACCTTTTGTTAAATAATCCTTTCATGGCGTATCAATATTTTAAAACATTTCTTTCTGTACATAAAATGTAATAAGATTTGTACATGGGGCAGCCATACAAACTCATTATATATGCAGTCTCTGCTTCCTGTTTAGTTGTACTGCACAAGTGTGTTTCAATGGTAATCTCAATAGAAGTCTATAGGTCAGGCTAGAACTCATTGTATATGTTTGACCACTAGAGGGCACAACTCTGTAATATACACTGATCAGCCATAACATTATGACCACTCACCAAAACCTGTCTAGGTATGGACTCCACTAGACCTCTGAAGGAATGCTGTGATATCTGGCAGCAGCAGATCCTTTAAAAGATCAGTTCACCTTTGGAATAGGTTACATGTTCCACCCATTTTTAGGGTGAAACGTAACATGTCCCCATAGCTGCAGCTGTGCCCGCTGCCCCCGTCTCTCTGACAGATAGCTAGTACAGGGAAACTTCTCCACATACTATTTGTCAAATTTGAAAACAGCGTGGCCATGTGGGGCTTCACCCACACGGCCACGTCATTCATTCACGGACTGAACTGCGAGTCCCAGCAGCCTTAGCGGCTGAGGGCTTGTAGTTTTCAATTAATTATCACAGTGCTGTGGACCACCGTGGTAGTTCATTGAAGCTTCCTGTTAGAACATCTGCTTGATCATACATCCCGTACAGCAAGCAGAAACTCTGACAGGTCTGCAGGAGACCTGCATGGCATCAGTGATCTACTGATTGCTGGTACAATGCCTTCCAGGCTCCTTTGGACAAAAATAATAAATGCACATTTGTTTACCTGCAAAAAAAAAAGTGCATAAATTATTTTTATCCAAAAGTTGTGTCGAGGTGAGACAGTCCAATCAAGCACCCTACAGAAATCTGGAAAATTGGTGGCCAAGTCCGCACCTCAAGCTTATTTTGGCATTCCTTAAACCATTCTTGAATTCACCAGACCACCTTCTTCCATGGCTTAGTGGTCCAGTTCTGATGCTCGTGCCCATTGTAGGACTACACGGCCAGCCTTCAATCCCCACAGGCATCAATGAACCTTGGCCATGCATAACGCTCTCGCCAATTTTCCTTCCTTGGACCACTTCTGGTAGGTCCTGACCACTGCAGAGTGGGAACATCCCATAAGAATGAGTTTTGGAGATGCTCTAACACAGTTATCTAGCCATTACAATTTGGCCCATGTCAACACCACTCAAGTCCTTACACTTGCCAATTTTTCTGCTTTCAACACATCAACTTAATGGAAAAAGCATTCTCTTGCTGCCTATATACCACTTTCAGATGTCATTGTAACAAGATAATCAATGTTATTCACTCTACCGGTCAGTGGTCATAATAAATTGGCTGATCAGTGTATATTTCCAGGTAGAAACTACATTTATTTGAAATGTGTGGTCAACCAAAATGCACTACAGCTTTATTTAGTGTATAATACATAACATACTGATAAAATCCTGTATGTAAATAATAAAATGTGTTTTCAGGAGCAGCTTATGAGCAGAACAGGGGAGAAAACACTTGAGAGAGTGTCCCTAATCCGCCATCCAATACATCAAGCTGCCAAAACAGCATAGCCTATGTACCCCATAGTATGGGAAACGTTAACCACTTGCCTACCGGGAACTTTTAGCTCCTTCCTGCCCCAACCAATTTTCCCGCTTTCAGCACTTTCAACTTTGAACGACAATTGCGCGGTCATGCAACAAGGTACCTATATGAAATTTGTCTTTTTTGAGACAGAGCTTTCTTTTGGTGGTATTTAATCACCACTGGGTTTTTTAATTTTTTGCTAAACGAAAAAGACTGAAAAGTTGAAAAAAATATTGGTTATAAAATGCAAATAAACGGTGTCCTGACAGGCTTGCCAGTTAACAGCTCTCCTGTCCTCCAACAGACAATGTGGGAGGAAAGAAATGCCGATAACCAGCAATCTGTTTACGGACACCACTCACACGGTAAAGGGATGCTGTGATTGGCCCTTTACCCCGATCAGTGGTCACAGAGCACGCCTGATGCACGTTGCAGGAGAAGCGTGATGGGGGCGGGGGGGTGGTAAATGGGGATTTGGGCGGGGTCTATATGGATGCCCTCCCAGAACTGAATGACCATGCGGTAGCCATCTTTCGGCTGTAGCACCACAGTCAGCAAGTGGTTAAAAGCAGTTAAAGGATAAGTGCACCTTTTGGGAAAAAATTATAAATGCACGTATTTTTTTCGGGGGGAAAAAAAAAAATGTGCAATTATAATTTTTTCCCTGGAAAGCATTGCATCAGGGGTGCAATGCCAGACTTCTGCAGACAAACCCTGCAGATTTCAGCCGTACCTTCATATAGTCTGACCATTTAAAAGTTGCAGGGCTTGTGAATGAACTAGGAGGCCACTCATCTGCAACCTCGCAGTCCATTCAGAAGTACAAGCTATCAGCCACCATAGCTGATGTTAGTTGTATCTTCTGCATTCATACAGTAAGTTGTGAATGAATGAATGACATGGCCGTGAAGGCGGAGCCATGCACGGCTGCATTATTTTCAAATAGTGACAGCGGGCGCTGGGAGAAGATCCCCTATCGCTGTCGCTGGGATGTGGGGATTGGGGGGAGAGAAGGTTACAAGTTCCACCCTAAATACCAGTGGAACATGTAAAATGGTACAAAAGATGAACTTATCCTTTAGGTTAGCATAAGGTTTTGTTTTTCCCCTGGCTCAGACCTATAAAGCAAATTAGTGGTAGGGTCACACACAGGACTAGAATTCCAAATATCTGGTGAGAGGCAAAGTACAACAATCTTCAGCTTTTAATAACAGAGTTGCTGCGTTTCTAATATTAGAATGAAGTTACGTGACCATTTTAAAATACTGTTAGAAGGAACAGCAAATTCTCCTTTTTCTCTGATTAGGTTACATAAACGAGAACATGGGTGATCTGACAGACTGCAGCACGTTACACGGTCAGAGCTATACAGTCATGCGCTGCGGTTTTGTGGAAAACACTAAAGGCAACAATACTAAATGTATTTCCACTTTTGCACTCAAATTTGAGAAAACCTCACAATGTTCCCATTCACACAGCATACCTAAAAAACAATTTTATAAAAACATAGATGTTTTACTTTTCTAGGAGTTTGGTTACTCTGAACAATCTGAAATTTGAGTTTTCCCTCATTAAAGCAGACCTTACCCTCACAAAAATGTACAGCATGTGCAGCTTTGCATGCACATGCAAAAACATCCTACAATATCCCAACATATTAAAAAAATAAATAAAAATAAAACATACCTTTTCCTGACACTTCTTGGTTTCCCTGAGACATCAGTGACATAGTCAGGGCTTCACCAACACACCCAGGCAAGGCCATGTCTCCAGTGACTCCCAGGGAGATCTCACCTGATCTTGTGCATGCACTGTTCACAACCTGTCAGTCATATTGTTCAATAAGCAACCAACGTAGATTTTGCACATGCATCATTTGGAATGTCTCTGTTCTTGAACAATAAGATCCACACATATTGAGTTTGGTGCATGAGCAACATCTGGTGTATACTTTATTGGTGGGCAGACACAGGGAACCAGGATGAAAAAGATGGCTGTCAACTTTTTTTTTTTTTTTTTTTTTTTTTTTATGGTGGCACAGGAGGGGGCACAGGCAGAACAGACATGAAGGGACTTTGGCAAGAGTTGAAAACAAAAAGAAGTGATAACATATGTAAGTGGAATGGTTTACCTAAACAATTGAGCATAGCTTTGACTGTTTAAGAATCTACTTTAACACATATTGAAGAATCCCAGCATCTAGATCTTTAACTACCTGGATACCAGGCACATTTACCCCCTTCCTGCCCAGTCCAATTTTCATCTTTTGGCGCTGTCGCACTTTGAATGTAATTGTGCAGTCATGCAACACTACATACAAATAGATTTTTTTATGGAATTTGATCACCACTAGGTTTTTTATTTGTTGCGCTATAAATGAGAGAAAAAACCCCAAAAAAGACCAAAAATTTTGGGGGGAAAAAATGCGTTTTTCTTCTTTTCTGATACAAAAGTTTGCAAACAACCTTTCTACACAAATGTAGGTCAAAATGTATTCTGCTACATTTCTTTGTTGAAAATAACCCAAATCTGTTTATTATTTAGTTGGCAGGAAAGTTTTTGAGTCACACAAACTATGGTATATAACTAAAAATAAATAAATCCTAATGTACTGAAGGCCTATCTCATTTCTTGAGGCCCAAAAACGCCAGGATGGTACAAATACCCCCAAATGACTGCTTTTAGAAAGTAGATAGTCTGAGGTATTTAGTAAGAGGCATGGCGAGTCTCTTCAAGTTGTCAGTTTTTGTCATAATTTTGTGGAAAATGAAGACAAAAAAAAAAAAAAATACAATTTTTTTTTCCATACTGTCACTAATGCAGTAGAGCATTAACATATAAATGGCACGGTGGTGATCAGGGATACTGACTGGCGACAGTATGTAAAAAAAAAAAATTTAAAATGAATTATTACTTTTTAATTTTTTAATGATTTTTATGTTACCACAGTAGCTTTGTACTATTCTGGACAAGTGATCAGGATGAATTTTTTTTTCTACACCACATTATGATTGCTTATTATACCAATGAATTTCATTGGTATAAGCTAGCATTTATACTGGATGAAACTGATTCATTCAGTAGCTTTTGTTGTGATTAGCTGTAATTGGCCACTGCTGATCACATGCTACAGATAGGCTGCGATTGGCCCAGTCTGTACATGTAACCAATCACAGCTAGCAGCACAGTTGTAAACAATGAATGGGCCAGTGTAGTGATCTGTCATTGGCTGTGTTCGGTGGACACAGCCAGTGACAGATTGTGCCACAGCGCAGCCCATGGAGCCCGCTCCTGTGAGGACATCTTATGACGTCCTCCCAGGATAATACAGATCCCACTTAGCCGTCATGTTACAATAGGCCGGGCATGAAGGAATTAAAGTGAAACTAAACTCTACTTAAAAATAAATACACACACATATATTATATATACATACACACTTTTTTTTTTGCTGCTGTGATATGGCTTCCTGTTCTAGGGTGGTTACATGCATTCTCAGTGGTCCCACTGTAAATAGGAACATAGCCACTCTCTATTGCTAGCTCCCCAGATGGACTAGGGACTATGAATTACGGACTATGAGATGTGTAGTTGGCATAGAGTAGTGCACATGACCGCAACTAATATGTACCGCTCATTCCTAACAAAAAAGCAGCAAGGGGAAAAGAGGTTCAGGAGCTCACAGAGGACATTACAAGAAGGCAAAAAAAAAAAAAACCACGGTAAGAATCAATTTCCTGAAAAATATATTAAGTTACATCATCCAGTGGCACCCAATGAAGATGCCTGAAGTCTAGCACCCAGAGAGAAGAGGTCGGCAAGGAGCCCCTTGCAGACTTCGGGCCATTAAAAAAAGAAGTGAAAAGTATAGTGACTTTAGTTCTGGTTTAACTCATAAAAGTACATTCTTTGCTCTCTGAATTTCCAAGATATCTTTTTTTTTTTTTAGCTGCTGACTACTGTTTAGACTTCTGTTGGGTGAGGGTGGCTACTTTGTTCTCCATGGCCCGCTGTATGTAGAAACGTAGCAACCCTGCTCACTCCTGTGGACTAGAGACTATGAATAATGAGCTATGGCATTTGTAGTGTTCATGGAGCAGTGTACATGGCTGCAACTATCATGCACCGCTTGTTAGAAGAAAAAAAAAACAAAAACAAACAAACAGATGACCTACACAGTAAGAAAATTTTATGAAAGCTAGATCACAGGGACATTCAATAGTGGACGTGTATGTATTATTTTTGGAGAATAAGGATATTTTTTTAGGGTTACTTTTTCAAATCTAATTCAGACAAGATTAATTTTTGTAAACATCAAGATCCCATCATCCCATGCATAGCAGAGGAAAATTTCAGGTTGGCAGTTTTCAGAAAAGATAAAATAATTGTTTCAAGTTATGCTGTGTGAATAAGAACATATAACAAATATAAAGTACGTGTCATCAGGATTTGGCTGCAAAAGTGGAAATAGACTTTAAGGCTTACAACGGTACTCCAATTGAAGTGCTTCTGTTGCATCCCCATTGTGCAGACAACTAAAACAACAACAAAAAAGTGTGACAATTGTAAAAGCTTAGGCTCACTGCTTACCCCTCTTTGCTTCCATCAGCTAGAATGCCCTCAGGAATTTCCACAAAGAGGCTCTGGTTTGACAGCATGGCCTTCCATGACGATTCTTTCACCTCGGTGACCTTATAATGAAAGTGGATAAGGTGGGGCTTCCCATCATTCCCCGGGAGATCCTGAGAAACTGTAAGCTTCTCATCCTGCAAACAAAGTGTAGAGAAAGAAAGTAAAAACGGATGCCATGCAATATAAATCAGATAACCAATGACAGCTTACAAAGCCATCCACAACACTGCCCCTAGCTACTTCGCCAACCTCATCCGCAGATATCGCCCACTCCACTCCTCCCAATATATCTTCCTCTCTAGCTCCCTCATTATCTCCTCCCACGCTCTCCTCCAGGACTTCTCCAAAGCTTCTCCCATTCTCTGGAACTCCCTACCACAGTATGTCTGGTCAGCCCCCACCCTGTCTGCCTTTAGGCAATCTTTGAAAAAACTCACTTCTTCAGGGAAGCCTACCCCACCTCCACCTAAGAACTGTACTTGAATCACCTTCACCAGATCATCCCCCGCAGCCATCACCTTTTGTATCTCCCCCTTCCTTAGATTGTAAGCTCCACGAGCAGGGCCCTCATGTTCCTTCTGTACTGAAATGTATTGTAATTGTACTGTCTCCCTTATATTGTACAGCGCTGCGCAAACTGTTGGCGCTATATAAATCCTGTGTAATAATAATATCTTGCTGATCCATAACAAGTTGTTACTAAAAATCATAGACTACGGTCAATAACTCAGCCACCCTATAGAAGGCGCTTACGTTACATACTTACAATAGGTATTTAGCAAACGCCAACAGGATGATGCAAGTATACTGTAATTAAGTGAACAGCAGATATGTGCCAATACACAAACAGAGATGTAAACCTGAAAACAAAACATCTTAGGCACCAAGCTCCATCACACTTCACATATATCAACCTTCAGGCATGACTCTGAGCTAGCAGCCTCCAGCTTAACCACCAGGCCAGTTTTTACCATACCTTGCAATTTATCAAGCTCTGTTACCTTGCTTACCCTGATACCTGAAAAAAATAACAGTGTGCTATAATTGCACAAGTGGATGTTTAGACATAAGAAACAAGTGGGAAATCCAACGGTTGCTTTGACACCATCTATGCGAAAAGAGTGCTGCTTCAGCCATAGATGTGTGTGTGTTAAATATACTCCATGACAGAGAGCCATAGCCTGAAAAAACGTATTCCAAGCCCCAGCACCAGCCCTGAGCGGGTACATGGCAATAGCTCTCTGCCAATCCCTCCACTGGCTTCCCATTGCCCAACGAATAAAATTAAAAACATTAACAATCACATATAAAACCATTTATAACTCTGCCCCAAATTACATCACCAATCTTGTCTCCAAATATCACCCAAACCGTCCTCTCCGCTCCTTCCACGACCTCCTGCTCTCTAGCTCCCTTGTCTCCTCCTCCTATGTTCGTCCCCAGGACTTCTCCAGAGCCTCCCCCATCCTCTGGAACACTCTACCTCAATCTATCACCCACTCTGCCCACTTTTAGGTGATCTCTGAAAACCTCTCTTCAGGGAAGCCTATCCTGCCTTCAGCTAATAACGGAATCTTCTATTCCTTCTACCAGTCCATCCCCCACAGTTATTACCTTTTGTACCACCAGCCCCTTCCTCTTAGATTGTAAGCTCCAAGGAGCAGGGCTCTCCTAACCCTCTTGTATTGAACTGTATTGTTGCAAACTGTTGCAGCTATATACAACCTGTATAACAACAACAACAACAGCAACAGCAGCAGCAGCGATATCAGAACCGATTTTAGATTATTAGGTTAATTACACATAGCAGAACTACTCAAATGTTTTTATTTCATGTTTATTCTCATGGTTACTGTGAAATTGTGTGAATGCATCAATGCAGTGCATGTTATCTCAGCTTGCAGAGCATGGATTCATTGAATGAATGGGTTTACCAAAAGTGTAAATATTGCAGAATATACAGCCTCATGCTACATAACGAAGCCCCATTTCATGCTGAATAAACTAAATTATTCATGTAGCTTAACTAGAAAACTATCTTCAGATAGATTTTTACTTCAAAACCATTTTAATAAAAAATTTTTTTTTTTTTTTTTTAGTAAATCATTGATTTTTATCCACCCTGTGGCCAGTTTATGCAAGTTTAACTTTATTTAGTCCGAGACGGATTGAGGAAGGGTTAGAATAAATTTGCATCTAAACCCTAAATTAAAAGTGTAATATATTGCAGCTTATCGGTCCTTTGATGTGGTGACTTTTTTAATTGTCGACTAAGAACATTTTCAGCAAGTACAGAAAATACAGTACTTTATTTTGCCAGAAAAGCAATGCACTTGTCACTGTCATTGAGCTTAAGAGAAAGCAAAATATTGTGTAAACTACTAATCCCATCAATGCACCATGTAATGGAGATGAAAAAAAGGCAGATATGTTTAAAGTCCAGCCTGTGTGACAACCATGACTGTTCCCATTGAGTCGAGAAATTAGAGTAGACATGAAAGAACAGGAAGTGTTTTATTTGCAGGATTACTAGGTGGAAACTAAAATGAACAAAAAGAATGCCAATGCAGCCACTACAGTTAACCACTTATCTACAGGGCACTTTTATCCCCTTCCTGCCCAGGCCAAATTTCAGCTTTCAGCATTGCAATGACAATTGAAATACCCATATGAAATTTGTATAATTTTTTTCACACAAATAGATCTCTTTCTTTTGGTGCTATTTAATCGCCACTTTTTTTTTATTTTTTGCACTATAAAACAAAAAAAAAAACAAATTGGAAAAAAAAATACTTTTTTCTTTGTTCATATTATAAAATTTTGCAAAACAGGTAAATTTTCACGTACACTGATCTGTGTTGATGAGGCTACACTGATAGGCTGCACTGGTGGGAATTGACGAGGAGGCACCGATAATGCTGCTGCACTGATGGGCACCGATAAACAGCACTGATGGGCACCACTGCTGGGCACTTTTGGGGCTGCGCTGATGATCAGGGCCCTGATTATCAGTGCAGTTGTCCTCTAACACTTGCTGGTTATCAGCAGTACTTTCCTCATGCTTTGACAGTGTTAGGAAAGTGCTGCCGATAACCAGCAACTGTATTTACTTTGTGATCAGCTGTGTCATTGGACACAGCTGATCATGTGGTAAAAGGTCGCTGTGAATGGCCTTTTACCTTGTCATGTGATCAGCTGTATCCGTAGGACACAGCTATCAGACAGAGCCGGGTGCGCGCCGCTGGGGGTGCATTTTGGGAGGACGTCATATGACACCCTCCCAAAACTAGACAACTGCGCTGTAGTCGTCATTTGGCTATAGCGCGGTTGTAAAGTGGTTAAGGATTGGGAAGCTCCAATATACAAGATTTATGTTAGTAGGTTAAATATGCTTTGAAGGTGACAGAAAATAAATCCAGCAGACTGTACTTCCTATTGTCTATCAGCACCCAAGCACTTCATTTTCCAGTTTCCAACTGGCTGTGCAAAAGCAGAGAACATCTTTTAGAAAAATTAACAGTATTTTTTTTCAACATGTTATACTCACCTGCTCTGGTCCCTGTTTGCCACTACAGGAAGCCGCTTCCTACAGGGGTGCATCTGCAGGTTTGGTCCTAAGCCGGGCTGTGTGCATTTATTGTTCCTCAATGAACTCCCAAGAAAAGGATTACACGGAGAGTACACAAATCCTCTGGTTTTTCGTCCATTGAGGGACACAAAGTCTCTCACATTCTGGACATGCAAAAGCAGTTCAATAGAGGAGTGAGCAACACAGCAAAATAAATACTAGGAAGAATGCCAAGAAAACAGAGAACTAGGAGCTTGAGTATCTCCTGGTGCTCAGCCGGACCTGCTTATGCATGGCTTTACCAGAACAGTTCAGAAAGCTGCACCAGCCTGAGCATGGCGCTACCAAGGAGTTGGTGTAGGAGCTCTGCATGCCTGCCTGTGAGAGACGACATGAAAGAGACCCTGGAGTAGCAACACCACCCTGTCCTATCTTACTTCGCTCAAGCGAGTGCTTATTTCCTGGAGCCTCTGGAAGGGGCGGCCTTGGAGGAGATAGGGGACAGCTTTCTCCCCTGGGCGGCAGTGGACAACATCCGGGTCTGTGAGGAGCGAACGACCACGTGACCGCTACAAGGAATCCTGGGAGCAGAGGGGGAAGGAGTAGATAGCGCCATGGAGCAGCGGCCAGAGAAAGGTGCCGCCGGTGAGAGATCCAGATCCAGGGAGACCTAGAGGTCTAGCTGCCTGGAGAGCCATGGTGGGTAACCCCACTCTGGGCAGGTAGCAACGTCGAAGCCACCCTAAACCCTACAGTCGCTTGGGAAGTCGAATCCTGGAGGTGGGGAGTTCTGAAACACACTTGTGATATGTTTACTAAGATGTTGAAAGGTGTAGGAAAAGACTCTCTAATGGGCCAAGCGTGAAAAGGAAAAAAAGGGGGGGGGGGGGGGGTGAGGAAAAAAGGAAGGAGGAGGAAGAGGAAAAACAGGAAAGAAAGAAACAAGCAGTTCAGAGGAGAAGGCTAAAGAAAAAAAGATTAGGGGGTCACCCCGTGGCTATAAAAAGAAGAGGAGGTTATTTAAGCATATAGTTGACCTCATCTCAAAAAATATATCAGGTAAATTACATCCCATTAATAAATGAGATAAAGAACGAGCTGAGGGGAAGCTCAAGATGATCACTCTCCCAGATAGAAAAAATAAACTTTGTGAAAATGGTGATAAAACCAAAAATCTTCTATAAATGTAATATGCTCCCAATATATATACACCAATAGACATATTTTGGGACCCTAAAAAAAAAAAAAATTAAAAAATTAAAAAAAATTGATATATATGGGCAGGTAAAAAAAACGAGCGAAAAATATGATTTTAAGAGATACTATTATTCGGTAATACCAACACAGGTGGTTGATTGGGTATATATGAGAGAAAAGTTGGGTAAAAAATAGAAAGTACACTTAGTGAGGCACCGTTAGATAAAATTATTTGGATTCCACAACAGTTTCGGATGTTTTCTAATAACACTAGCACATTAACACAGAATGATGTCCTAGTAACAACACCCAGTAGCACTGGAGGGAGATCATTGGATTCCAGACCCTGCCCTGACCAGCTGATGACCTCAAGGGAAAAAAATATATATATATAAACGCTCATTAAACTGTGCGTTCTGGTGAGTGTGCATTTCTTCTGCACTATATCGCACAGCACCTTGTTACCTGGAGGATAGGAATAGATGAGAGCACCTGAAGTCACCTTGATATCATTATATGAACTGCTTGTTTTACATTTATCTACTTATTTATATACTTATGGTATTTCTTGTCCAGCGCTGCATCTTCTGATTTATATTATTGTTTTATAAGGTTTATGGTTACCTGATGCACAGCTGCTACATTGCATTTGTAGGTGCGCTCGTACACATTATCTTCATTACTTATTAACACAGAATGTGTTTAGGGTATGGGATGTAATTCACGGACAAATGGGATGGGAGTATAATTCACTGTTAATTCCACTTGTAGGAACAAGTTTTTTTGCACGGGGGGAAAGAGAAAATATCAGGAAAATGGAAAAAGGATGGAAACGCACAGTTAAAGGATATTATGAAGAAAGGGGAAAATATGTTCTTTTCAAGAATTGAAAACACAAAAAAAAAATATTTTTTATGTATTAGATGAGTGGCGATATTTTCAATTAAGACACTTTGTAATGGCACTTCCACAACCAGTAAGAGTTGTAGAGGACCTACATCCATTTGAACAGATGTTGAATTCAGGTATTATACAGAAACATAGTACATTGTGTAGATACAAAATATTCACTAAAATGTCCAGACCTCTGTTGTTTTTGGAGAGAAAGAAGGAAAATATTTAATTTAGCACACAGGGCCATGGATATGAAAATTGTAGGAAATAATTATAAATGCTTGGCAACAGCAACCAGAGAATTCACCACTTTGTTGGGAGAGAATGTGGAATAAAGGGAACTATGGCACACATATGGTGGGAATGCCATAGAATACAGGATTATTTGCAGGACCTAGTACAACAAATACAAGAGATCTCGGGCGGTAAAATCTTAAAGGACCCATGGGTCTGTTTATTCCATAATACTAAGTTAACAGTGAAACAGTATAAGAATATGATGATTTTTCATTTTTTTAATGCGGCAAAGGGATTGATCCCAACGTTTTGATGGGTTCAGGAGATACCAAGAGTAAAGGGTTGGATACTCAGGGTAGAATATATTTATAGGTTGAAGGACTTATACCATAGCGAAGAGGATAAAATGGAAACATTTTAAGAACCTGGAAGGGATGGAGTGAATTTAAAACCTCCAAAATATATGTAGAGCTGATTGGAGAGTAAACAGAGAGTAAAATAAATTGGGAGACGAAGTTGTGAAGGGAAGAGGGAAAGAAGAATAAGAAGAGAAGAGAGTGAGAATATATGTAGCTTAGAAGAATCTAAGGAGAAAAAGAAGATAAGAGGGTAATGCGAGAGGAGGTGGGGAGGGGGATTGGAGGAGGAGGGACTAAGGGGAAAAAAAAAGGAAAGGGGAAAAAGGGAATTGTTGAATGTTATATTATGTAAGGATTTTTAAATATTTGTATGTAAATGAAACTAATAAAATAAAAAAAAGAAGAAAGCTGCACCAAGTTCCTGAAGGAAACTTCCAGGCTATCCTCGCAGTGCCCAGTCCAGTGGGATCCAGACACGGCACTCCGCAGCTATCTGACGTGGCTTTAGTAATGATTAGAGAAGAGTCTTGATTGAAGAAAACATTTGGAAAAAGGGAAAAGGTGTTAGTTTTTTGCTAGTGTCCTAAGAGGATGGATGTCTTCAGCTCTGCTGAAGAAAAGACATCCATCCTTCTACTGAGGCATGCTAGTAGTAGGAGAGGTTATACTGGTAACATCTACAGTTTCTTGTTCAATTCTCCTGAAGGGAACAGTATAATTCAAAGGTGAAACACTTCTTGTGTTTCTGAATGAACAAGAAGGTCCCCCCCCCCACACCACAACTTTTCTTTCCCCAAATGTTTTAACCACTTCCAGTCCCGACACTTTTACCCCCTTCCTGACCAGGGCAATTTTCAGCTTTCAGCGCTATCACACTTTGAATGACAATTGCGCGGTCATGCAACACTGTACCCATATGAAATTTTTAGCATTTGTGACAGATAGAGCTTTCTTTTGGTGGTATTTAATCATCTCTGGGTTTTTTATTTTTTCTTAAACAAACCAAAAACCACTGAAAATGTTGGAAAAAAAAAAAGTTTTTTCTTAAGTTTTTGTTATAAAATTTTGTAAATAAGTGATTTTTCTCCTTCACTGATGTACGCTAATGAGGCTGTAGTGATGGGCACTGATAAGATGCACTGATGGACACTGATAGGTGGCACTGATGGGCATTGACAGGCATCACTGATGGGCACTGAAAGGCAGCACTGATATATGGCACTGACTGGCACAGTTAGGCAGCACTGAAGGGCAGCTCAGGTGGGCACTGATATGTGGCATTGTGGCACTGATGGGCACTGGCACGTGGCACTGTTCAGCTGGCACTGATGGACTCTGACAGGTGGCACTTCTGGGGCCACACTGATCTTCAGTGCCCTAATAATCAGTGTACATCCCCTCCACGAAAAGCCGATTACTGGCTCTCCTCTCCTCACGAGCTGTCAGCGTGACAGCTCGAGAGGAGAGAAATGCCGATAACTGGCATTTCCCTGTTTACATGTGATCAGCTGTGATTGGACACAGCTGATCACATGACCGAGCCGACATCTTCGGCTCTTTCCATGATCGGTGATCCCCTGTGTCCGAGGGACACAGAGCATCGCTGATCACCGCACTGCGCGCTCCCTGAGCTGCGCATGCGCGGTGAGAATGGCAGGACGTCAAATGATGTCCTATCAGAACGAGAGAACCACCTTGCGCCTGTGATTGGACTATATGGCAGGCGGGAGGTGGTTAACGTGTATGTACAGTTGTGCTCAAAAGTTTACATACCCTGGCAGAAATTGTGACATTTTGGCTTTGATGTTGAAAATATGACTGATCATGCCAAAAAATGCTCTTTTATTGAAGGATGATGATCATATGAAGCCATTTATTATCAAATTTTTTTTTGCTCCTTTTTAAAATCATAACAGAAATCACCCAAATGGCCATAATCAATAGTTTACATACCCTGGAATGTTTGGCCTTGGTACAGACACACAAGGTGACACACACACACACACACACACACACACACACACACACACACACACACACACGAGTTAAAATGCCAATTAGAGGTTAATGTCCCACATCTGTGGCTTTTTAAATTGCAATTAGTGTCAGTGTATAAATAGTCAATGAGTTTGTTAGCTCTTACGTGGAAGCACTGACTAGGCTAGATACTGAGCCATGGGGAAAAGAACTGTCAAAAGTCCTGCGTAACAAGGTAATGAAACTTTATAAAGATGGAAAAGGACATAAAAATATGTCCAAAGCCTTGACTATGCCAATCAGTATTGTTAAATCACCTATTAAGAAGTGGAAAGTTCGGGGATCTCTTGATACTAAGCCAAGGTCAGGTAGACCAAGAAAGATTGCAGAGCATTTTTTGGCATGATCAGTCATATTTTCAATATCAATGCCAAAATGTCACAATTTCTGCCAGGGTATGCAAACTTGAGCACATATAGCGAAAACTTTGAAGGAAAGTACATTTCCACATCACTCAATTTTTTCACCAGGACAAAAGCAAACAATCTGTCTAGCAACACATATAATACAAACTAGACAGGGGCTCGGATCCATCCAAATAAAGTTTTTGCTATACATACACTTTAATCCAGGTACAGCTGCTCCTTGCCATAGGTTGCCCTTTCATGTACAACAGAGGAAAGGTGAATCAGAATCCACTTCTTCTCACAGTATTGCCTTTGAACCTAGGTATACTCAAAATATCCTGTTTCCATGTATGTAAGCCAAGGTTCACACTATATGCTGGTACGAATAAGAGCACACATTCCCCCCCAAAGATGCGCTGCTGTTAGACACGCAGGGGTGGAATTCATTCTTAATGGCACCCCCATACACTAGAAACTGCAGCACATTTTCCCATGTTGGGAACCGCATACCCACAGGTGTAGCTTGAAGCTTGTGGTCCCCCCATGCAAAAGTTGATCTGAACCCCCCTCCACTACAACCTGAAGCTTCCACCATCCGCCAAGATACTCTAAGTGGATAAAGAGTTATTTCAGATCTTTATTTACATATATTTATTTCCAATGAAAATATTATTAGCGAGCACAAAAACACATAACTTCCTGCTAAACCTAAAACTGTATTGAGGTAATAACTAAAACTTGGTATGTGAATGAGGTCTTGGGGCTCATTCACATGAGCACTGTGTCCTGTCCAACGCAAACCAGATTTTTTTTTTATGTGGCTGGAGCTGTGTGCAGGCAGCCTGTGTTACACTATGAGGACACAGCAACTGTATGAACACAGCCGCAGGTCCTAATTTGACAGGCGTGTTGATGTAGGTGTACAACCCCAATCACAGACAGTGTGCATTTGGAGCTACTCACCCACACCTGTCAAATTAGGACATGAGGTTTGTACAGCTGCTGCATCCCCATAGACTAACAGGTGGCTCCAGCTCCCAGCAACAGACACACAATCAGTGCAAAGAGCACAAAGAGGGTGATCGGTGCTGTGGGGGGCAATTACAGGAACCAAACTCCTATATGCAGCAGCTGAAAGGAGTGGAATATAGAGGAGAAGCTGTCTTTCAGTTGCTGTGTGCAGGGGATAATTTCCTCTAATTGCCCACCCCGCCGTAAAACAAAGTAACAAGGAGATGGCGCCCCTGTAGCGTGGGCTGGGTTGCGACCCCCTATTCTATGCCAGTGCTCATGGTGCTAGGTGTTGTACCTGTAAATGCAATTGTGGAAAAGGTGTAGGACCTTTTCTCTGCATTTTTCATAGTGCAGCACTGCATTTGAATGAATAGGCTGCAGTGCCCATGCAAAGCAGGGTGGATAAAAATCGATTTGTTTTAAAAAAAATACTGTTTTTGGATTTAAATCTGATTTTTAATCAAATTTTAATAAAATGCTTTTGGAGTAAAAGATAGTTTTCTAGTTAAGATACAATAATAATTTAGTTTATTCAGCATGAAATGGAGCTTAGCTATGTAGCATGAGGCTGTAAATTCTGCAGTATTTTCCTTTTTTGGTAAACTCATTCAATGAATCCAAGCTCTGCAAGCTGAGATAACATGCACTGCATTGATGCATTCACACAATTTCACAGTAACCATGAGAATAAACATGAAATAAAAGAACAAGGCTATTCCCAACAGCCTTGTACCATGTGACAAGCTGTGACCAATCACAGCTCTCAAAGTATTTCTCAATGGCTACAAGTATTCAGCCAGAGAGAATGAGAAATTATTCCTTTTACAGCCTTTATGGGTATAAAAGCAATCAGTGTAAAAAAAAAAAAAAAAAAATCTTCATCACCCCCCACAAGCAGTAGTGTCACTATGGTGACACTGTACTGCTAGGGTGACAGTATGTTTAAAAAAAAACAAATATAAAAGAAATTAAATAAAAAAAGTAAAAAATGTTTTTAAAAATTATACATTTTTGGTTATAAATTAATTTGGGTTATTTGTTTTTTTTTTTTTTTTTTTTTACTAAAAAGATAGATGAATACATTTTGGCCAAGATTTATGAAGAAATATTATTTGCAAAATTTTATAAGAAAAACACTTTCCAAAATGTTTGGATTTTTTCATTTATATAGCAAAAAAAATTAAAAATCCCAGTGGTAAATAAATACCACCAAAATAAAGTTTTATCTGTCTCAAAAAAAAATGCTAAACAATTAATATGGGTACAGTGTTGCATGACCGCTCAATTGTCATTCAAAGTGTGATAGTACTGAAAGCTGAAAATTTGCCTGGACAGGAAGGGGGTGAAAGGGTCTGGACAGGAAGTGGTTAAATCAAATCCACCCTGATGCAAAAGCAGCCATATTTGAGCAAACAGTTATTATAACTTAGAGTACAATTTTATTAGAGTTTTTAAGAAGCTTGAAATAGGCTGCTGATGATCAACATCTCATCACTGTATTAGACTTTGGTAGAGAGGAAAGCAACTGTGAATCTCAATTTTGCCAACAATTGGAAAATCTCCTGCATGATCTCCCTCCACAACTGCCCCAAGGTCATTCAGCTTTAAAAAAAAAAAAAAAAAGAGAAGTATGGCCAATACTCTTTTGGCTATACTTCCCTTTTGGATCAGAAGGGTACATCTGCTAATGTTCTTCTGTGTCGGCCAATAGCTATCAGCTGACATGGCTGAGCCAAGGTGTGAACAGGATCCTAACTAAAGTCGCGGGATCCACCTGGCTCATTGATTTGCTGCTGGCTCTTGGCCAGCTGTGTCCACCTTCTTCCCAGCCTGGGATATACTAAAGACAAAACACAATCTCTTTTTTGGGCTTTTTGCACCTTTATCTCTATATGATTTGTGACAGATTTTTGCTTGAAAATGCTTTAAAAAATCCTACTTCCTACTCTCCCACTGCAGTGCTGGCAAGCTGAGTAACAGTCATATTCTTCAGTAGTGTCATCCAACAGACTTGTATGACAGATGGAGGAGGAGTGTTTCAGACCAGCTCTGTTACTGAGTTCTGATTACAGAGTGCAGAGGGCCTATCTCTGCTGTAACAAGAAAGCAGAAAGGAGACTATGCATATCATTTCTGTGATTCCAATTTTGCTTTAATTAACAAATAGCCATACTCCCCAGATAGACAGTGCCACAACTGGGAGCTGAGGTGAGGGGTGGATGCAGTGTACTTCTGGTCAAAAAGAAGTCACACAAGACACATGGGGCGTTATTTACTAGAACTGGAGAGTGCAAAATATTGTAGCTCTGCACAGAAACCAATCAACTTCCAGGTTTTATTGCCAAAGCTTAAAGTGTTACTAAACCCAGGACCCTGCATTCACTATATCCGTTTCTCCACAGTACACAGAACATGGAAGTGCAATTATTTTAGTAAATATAAACTGCTAAATACCTTTTCTCATCAGCAGTTAGAGCAGCCGTGTAACTTCCATCAGTGTCCAGGTGAGCACTGGTTAAAGCTTGTAGGAGGAGTTTTCATTTTGCTCTAGGAGGATGCAGAACCCCTGACCTCTGTCTAGACAGTGCTGACTGGCCCTGTGCTGATCACAGCTCTCTAGCAATACACACCAAACGAAGCATGAGCAGAGTGACTCCACACAATATGTCTTATCAGGAAAGAAGAGGAGAATCAAAGGAGTCAGAATCAAACAGTGTTTTTACACAATGCAAATAATTGACCCCTTAGGTTCCACAGTGAGTATAACAAGCATGCTTTACTGCATATACAGACTGATTTTACTGTTGTGGGTTTAGTAACACTTTTATTGAACAAGCTGACATTAGAAGCAGATTAGCTACCTGCACAGCTGCACCAGTTTTA